TATATATGTAACTTTCCTTTTTGCTAAATGTCAAATAGAAAGGCTTTTTTAGTTATATTTCTTAATAGTATAAATATATACTATGTTGTTGTTGGGCTTTTTCAGCACTGTCTTAGTAAATGGCTCCAGCTGCTTTATGTTGAGGTTTCTGCTGTTGTTTGCTGGTAATGCACTCTTTTCCAATGTGTTGGTGGAGAAAAGTACCTATACAAAATACATTTTCATTTAGAAAAAGTATAACTTCCAATAACGTACACTCCCTCCGCTCACAAGAGTAGCTTGAATCCCACACTGAAATGGAGGAGGGACCATTGTGAGAGAAGCACAGACATATCTCCCAAAATGAGAGGAACAGATCAGATGATCTAAGGAGGGGCACTGCACCACATCTGAGCTAGGTATCTCTTTGACAGGAACATCAACATGATCCGGAGGACCAAACATGGTGTAACGTTAAAGGGAGCACATCCGCGATGGGAGATAATAGTTTAGCAATGTGATCTAAAAGAGGAATCAGAATCACTCAATCCCATGATGGAAAGTGGGCAAGTGAGGATGTGCCCCATGGTGTAGAGTAGCTAAGGCACGACGGACTGTATTCAGTAAATCAATTACATCCCAAACCTCACTCGCTGGGTATTGACATCTTCACAGGGGTAGGATGAGGATCATACCATCTTTACCTCAAGTACCAGAGGGAACCTAATATTCAAATCCAAGAACTCACAGGGTAGCCTAATGCCAGGGATCCAGGAATGTCATCTGGAATCCACTGCAACCCCCGCAACCATGAAACCAGCTCGAAAAGACCCCAGGTTGGTAACAATCTCATCACCCAAAGAAAGAAAAGAAAGTATTAGTAAGAGCTTACCTCATTTCACAGACACGGCAAAGTCTGTAGAATAGCCAGAGGCAGCAGGCAATCCCCCGAGAAAGCAGAAACAGTGATGTGGTGTAGGTAGTGGGAGATGAATGTGTGAAGAGTCGTCCACATGACCGATCACAGAATCTCTTCCAATGGCCAACAAAGACAAGAGGCAATGGAGAAGGTAAGGTGACAGATTTGATCCTACCTACAATAACCACAGGCCAGGAGGAGGAAATATGTCTTCAGTGAAACAGGGAACTAATTGACAGAGGTTCAAACAAAGGTAAAATGAGGGCATGAAGGACCAAGTTAATGTCCCAGTCCAGGAGCATCGGAGCCGGAAGGAATGGATCAACATGGGAAAGAATAGGGGAAGCAAAGAACCTGCAAAAATGGGAAAACAGAATATAAGGGATAATGCCGCCAGAAACCCCAAAATCGAAGAGACCAAAGAACCCTCTCTCAAAGAGCCATGTAAGAAACTCAGATACAGGCAACCGTTGGGTGAGAAACCCGGAAACCCAGAGTCAATGCCAGGAACAATAAATGCTCCGTTTGCATTGATAGACAGCCAAAGAAGAAGGGCAAATGGATTGGGCTAAATGTGAAGCTACTCTGCAAGAGATACTGGAACTCCTCACCAAGGACCTGACAAAAGCCAGGCTTGAAGACAGAGGAGATACAGCGCAGGATGGAGCCCCGGTGACTGGGGTTGACAGAGTAGTTCGGGATGGAAGGGAAGAGGAAGGACCACCTGCAATTGGAGCAACTGAGGAACCAAAGTTGAGCAGGCCAATAAGGAGCAATAAAAAAAACCATAAATGGAGTGGCATGGATGAGGGAGACCAATCGATGAAGTAAACAGATGAGAGGGTAAACATAAAAGAACAGATGAGAGCAATCCTGGCAGAAGACATCAATGACCAAGGCTAGAGGATGGGGAACCGGGGGCCAAAGCCAAGGTAATTTGTGATTAAAGGCATCAATATCGGGCATACCCAGATGCAGACAGAGCCACCAAAAAATGGCAGGATGCAGGGACCACTCCGTGGGATAAATGCGATCCAGTCGGGAAAGACAGTCAGCTACAAAACTGAAAGCACTCAGTACAAAACATGCCATCAAACGAATTTGATGTGTGTGGCACCAATAGAAAAGATCCATAGTGTGAAAACACAGGAATCTGGACCTGGTGCCACCTTTGTGAATGATATAACCCACCATGATAGAATCGTCGGAATGAATCATAACCAGCTGGCAAGAGAAAGAAAATTATCCAAAGCCTGATGAACAGCTGGGAGTTCAAGACCATTGATGTGAAGAGAACTATCCTCCAGAGACCAATGACCCGGAACCTCCTGGTGATTCATCCAGGCACCCTAGCCCTGATGGGGTGTATTTGTGAACAGATGTAAATCTGGCCACAGAGGAGGAAGCAGGACCCCTGCTGATGTGTGGGCCCTGTTCAACCACCAATGGAGATAATCTACAGGGGATGAGGGATGGGATATAGAAGTATCCAAGGGATTCTGGGCGAGGCTGCGGGTGGGCTGGTTTGTCATATTGGAGAAGTCTTTCCTTTGTACTACCCAATACCTTATTTATTTGGGTGTTTTATTCAAAATCTATCTCAGTTGTGGAATGGGCTGTTTGGAAAGCCTTGTCTGTTCCCTCACTTTCAGCTTGTGAGGTTCTTTCACTTTTGGGGATGTTGTTCTCCATGACCTCTCTCATACTCCTGGGCAGGGCCCATATGATGTTTCCTCAATGGGACCTTCTCGTTCAATGGCAAGCTGAGGACAAAAGCTGATGAGTGTGACAAGCTGAATCTCATTCGGAATGAGCAAGAAAAAGCCAGTCGTCCTTACAAACATGGAAGTGCAACCCCATGGCTTGAATATGTTGAGCAAAGGAATGAACCACAAGACAAAACACGTAAGGTGCTGAGACTAGGCCGAAAGGTAAGGCACGAAACTTGTACACAACCCCCCCCAATGTAAGATATGGACAGGAACACTCAGCCACAGGAAATGTGTAGGTAAGGGTTGGAAATGTCCACCTTGGTCATCCAAAGAGCTGGAGAAAATGCCCCTTTGAAAAAAAAGGTATGTCTTCATGGTAAAGCGAGGATTGTGAACATACCGATTGAGACAGGGTAAATCAATGACAGCACAAACAGGTCATAGTAAACCCCTCGTGAATATGGTGGAGCTGGTTTGGTACCCTGTTGTGCGATGAGGTCCTGAACCACCTCTGATAGATGCTGGCATATCAAGGAATCCCGAGGAGAAGGAAAGGGAATGGGAACACTGGATAATGGAGGAAGAGAGAGAGAAAAGAGCTAACGTATCCCCCTGAGAGCACCTTGTGAACCCAGACATTGGTGAGAAAAGATCCCCACAGAGGAACGAAATTCAAAGGACGAGCCTCCAATGGGCCAGAACCAACCACATAGTCACGGGTACTGCTGTTGGCGGATCGTGCCTAGTCGAACCGTGGCACTGCAGGAGGGTGGGACAAAAAGAGGTTAGGAATGGGAAGGTCAGGGGACAGGTATTGGTGCCGTGCTTGGCCCTGACTGTGACAAACAAGCTACCAAGTCAATAAGGATATAATGTTGATGGGCCAAGGCCACCCACAACTCCAAAGACTCAGGAACCAAATCAAGCACGTTACAACTTCTGTAGACATCTTCAGTAAATGTTGGTTTGGTTTACATTCTTCTCTGTATTTCACTAATGAATTTTTGTCCACATAATACCTCATTTATTCATGTATTTCACATGCCAGTGGACCCTTGTCTTCCAAAACATGCAGATAAACAAAGTTTCACTGTATGGTTTCTTTTCAGTTAATAATATGATCATTTATTTACATACACATTGTTTTTAGATGATAAACTAAGACTGGTGTATCAAAATATTTTATTTAACAAAAGATAATCACAGAAGATAAAAAATTAAATCACTTAAAGCCATGATTTTCTAATCCTTCTAGGATTTGGCTGAAAAAATCACACATTTCCCAAGACTATTCAATGTGTGTGAACCCTAAAAAACTTTAGTAACAGGGAGAATAATTTTTTTTTGCCTTTTAATTTATTATAGATAAGTTTTGATTATTATACTACTAGTGATGTACATAGTATAATGTTCAAAAGCAAAGAACAGCAAAATTCCCCATAAAGCATCATTTTGAAGATTTATACACACAATATTATATTCCACTTGTTTTAACTTCAATATGAGACTATTTAGCCTTTCGAGACAGGTCAAGGGTGAAAGGCC